CGTGCAGGAGGCAGCCGATCAATGATTCTCTCTCATCATTGATGTTTCTATCTCTCTCCCTCTCCCTTGTGTGTGTGTATATATATATATATATATATATTTCCCATACTCACCCTGACCGGGGTTTGAACCATAGGATTCATTCTTAGACGTGGCAATGCTTAAAGGGGCGCGTGTGCTTTTGTTGGATAAGTATGGCCAAACTGCCTTATAGAAGGATCACAGCAATCTGCATGCCCACCCGCAGCCCCCAGAGGCCAGTTTCCCCGTAGACTCACCAGCAGTGTTGTCCCACTTTGGCCTCTGAGACCCCACATGGGCTGAGTGTGCACAGGGTGAGTGCTGTCTCGTTAACACCCGCAGATTCTCACAATTGCCCAGAGGGGAGTAGTGTTACCTTCATTTTACAGACGAGGAAACAGGTCTGGAGAGCTTAGCCTGACTCAGTTCACGGAGCTGAACTGAACCCAACTCCAGCACCCACCCCACATCCCCCCGGCGGTTCTCAATCGCCGATGTGTCAGAGCCACTGGGAGAGCCTGAAAGCTGGCTGGGCCCCGCCCTCAGAGTTCTGACTCAGCTGGTGTGGAAAGGGCCCGAGACCCTGCATTCCTAGTCCTGGGGGTGCTGTCGCTACTGGTCTGGGATCACGCGTTGAAAGCCATTGCTCCTAACTATATCTAACGGGGACCCTACTAGGCCTCACTGACCTAACTTTAACTTTGAACTCTGTGACCCACTAACCTTCCTGTGTGTGTGTGACAGAATTGACCTCTCATAGTCCTTGGACTGTCCAAGTTTGGTAACAGCAGCAACACACCACTTTGAATCATGAAATGATCTACCAGAGCTGGTTGTAGTTATTCCTGCTGCTGGAGGGGCTGGGAATCCAGTGGGAAGCCCTGAGGCTGGACAGGTGTGGACCCCGATGGTGGCCGGGCCACCGTGCAGCCCGACACAAGTCAGCCCACTTACCTGAGCTCAGTGCCTTCTCTCTCCGAGGGGGGCTGTCATGGACTCTCTGCCCCAGACGCCTCATGGCAGCGGTTCTCAGGAACAGAGGGCCGGCTCCGGGCAGTGGCTGTGACTGGCTGCTCACAGCCGTCGCCCCTGAGACTCCCAGGGGTCATGCTCACTTCCAGCTCTGTTCCCAGAAAAGTCCCAGGTTCCGTGGTCCTTCCACATCCTAGCGATGACCCTTCCGTGGCACAAAACTGATTTTGTCCGCGTTGGGACATTGGAAACTGAGGACACTTGTTCTGATTCCGAGAAAGAGCCCAGGTTGAATCAGTGACCACGGGGACCGGGGCTGCTGCCAGCTGCTCTCTGTGCTGGGGGCGCGGCAGGGGCAGACAGAGGGTCAGTGTTGAACCCGCGCTTTCTTGGAACCTGGCGAGGGAGGGTAAATGAGCTCAGATCTCAGGAGCACCAGGGATGGGCTGTGTAGCCAGAACTTCCTGGCTCAGGCCTGGGGGTGGGGCCCCAGGACACGCGCTTCTCACAAGCTTGGGGGCGGCTGGTCAAGGACCACACTTTGAGTATCGGGGGTCTAAGTGATATTTTGTATCAGCGATTTCGGCCTGTGTGCCCCAGAAGTTTTAAAATGTGCAGTAACACCTGACTGTGTAGTCAGGGGCACTGCCCTCTCTTCCTTAGAATGTCAAATAAAAAAATGACAACAGCCAACACAATAGCTATCCAGTGTGAATGAATCAAAATTATACCTATTTTTTTCTCAGATTGGCAAAAATATATAACTTTTTTTGGCAGGCCACAGAACTTCAGTAATTAGTTTATGTGCGCCAAGAGAAGAAAAGGTTGAAAATCGCTGCCTTGTGTCCATCAGCACCGCCAAACGCAAGCTGATTTTTCTTCAGCTTTCAGTGAAACCCTGAAAACACAAAGGAAAAACTCCTTTCGTTAGCGGGTTCCGGGTGGTGATATTTCTGGACAGGGCTGCCAACATCTCAGGTTGGGAGTGAGGTCTCTGCTCCGCACTGGTCCTCCGGGGACCGGGGCGGCCTGGAGCAGCCCCTGCGGCCCAGCCTTGCGTCGTGAGGGCTTTACCGGCCTGCGTCTCACGTAGGCAAAACCTTAATTGTCAGACAATTTAGAAAGATGGAGCCAAGCATCTCCATCTATTCGTTTCAACCTGATGTTTAGGAGGTTGGGGTGAGCTCTGGGAGGCTGCCAGGGTTCTGGCGTCTTTCCCTGACGGTGACAAGCCAGCACTTGGAACCATGTCCAGTGTCTCTAGAGCAGTGGTTCTCAACCTTCTGGCCCTTTAAATACAGTTCCTCATGTTGTGACCCAACCATAAAATTATTTTCGTTGCTACTTCATAACTGTCATGTTGCTACTGTTATGAATCGTCATGTAAATATCTGATATGCAGGATGGTCTTAGGCGACCCCTGTGAAAGGGTCGTTCGACCGCCAAAGGGGTCGCGACCCACAGGTTGAGAACCGCTGCTCAAGAGCAAGTGAATGTCTGATGGGCACCATGTATTTAGAGGTTTGCCGTACGCCGGGCAATACGCGCACGCTGGGCAGGGACTCTCTCGTTCATCTTTACGGCTCCATGAGGTAGAGGCACCGATTTTCTCCAAACAAACAGAACCGAAGGTCAGCAGCCCAAGTGCATGTGAGTGAGTAACCCAGACCGTACGGCTCTGACCCTGAGACCCGAGCTCTTGGATATTTTAAATGACTGACGTGATGAACAGGGTTATGGTAGCAAGACACGCAGAGACTCGAGGGGGTGAAATGCTTTCTCATCATCCCTTAGTCTGTTAATGAGGCTCCCGGTCTTGGGTTGCTTGCATTTTCTCTGTAAACTATGGCAAATGCTAGTTCCCCATCAGAATCTGACAACCGACCGGAAGCAGATCTTCCTGCCCGCGTGCCATGGTGCTGGTTGCATGTAAGCAGAATCGCCCGTCCCGGCTCATCATTCACACACCTGGAGTCACGTAGTGTGGGGCGGGGTGGGGGCTCTATGTGTGGGGTCAGCAAGGTGGAAGGCTGGTGGCCACAACTAGAAATATATTTCCCGCTAAAGGCATAAAACAGAAATATCTCTCCACTGGGAGATACTGATGGCACCCCAGGCAGTAAGTCTGAATGGAAGGTACCATCGGCAGATGCTTTACGTACAAATAAAAGAGAGGATTTGCTTTCATTCTGAGTTTATTTAACATTTTATCCAGCTGAACTGGAACAGTACATTGATCCCCACACTGGCAAGACACTGCGCTAACACTGAACAGCCGCCGCCCGCAGCACACGCTCGGCCACTCCCGCCTGGGGTCCGGCGCCTTTCCCAGCCATTGCACTTCCTGGGAGCGGTCCTCCAGGTCGCTGGGAGGTGGCCAGGGGATCCTGTCCGTTTGTTCCTTTTTATAAACCACGGTGACGCTGACAGGAAATAAAAGCGCCAGGAGCCGGAGCTCCTACGATAACGTTAAGTAGACACAGCTGCACAGTTGCTATCCCTTTCATGATGGCGCCTAAAAATGGCAGTTTATCCACCTTCTGCTCAGCCATTGCTTTTTCAGCAAAGGTGAGGATGCTGGGGGGGCTCCCAGTGAGGGGGTGAGCATTCTGGGGTAGCCGGGCGTGGGAGGGCCTCCCGGGCTGGGCTCTCGGTAGGAGCACCCTGCCAGCACCTCAGGGAGACCGCCTTGAATTTCAGGCTTTGACCACTTCTTCAAGAGCAGCATCTACGGCAACAAAACACACGCAAGGCCGGCATGTGTTGTGGGAACCTCTTTTGCTTCAAAGGGTTTAAGACGGAAAAATGGAGAACATTTTGGAAGCATAAAGGAAGGCTCCGAGTGGCCCATCCACCCCTCGGACGAGAGGAACGCACACGAGGCCCGCCCTGTTTCTGGATGGGGAACTCAGCCGTCTCATTGCCAGAAGATCTGCCAGCACTGTTGTATGTTTCTCCACTTACACGTCTCTGAATCACAGTGGAATCAAAACCCGCAAGGGCACACCGCCTTGCCTACACCTGTGAACACGGACAGACCGGAAACACAGTCTCTATTGCATGAACTATATTAAATGTGAAACTACTAGAGGGATATAAACAGTGGTCCATGGAGCCTTATTTTCAATCAGGGCAGATGCAGTACACAACCTCCAAGTAAAATCATTTAGCCACCGATTCACACACATGATGTCCGAATCTTCCCGAAAGCCAATGAGATCAGCAAGGACGAGACAAGATCCGTAGGGGCTGGACCTGCGCTCCCTCCTGAAATCTGCCAGACGAACCGAACGTCCCGGCACGCCGCACCAGGACCGAACACGCTGCCGACACTGACGTGTGCGCATGGCAGTTATCTGAGTGTTTGATGTAATTGAATATCAAGCCAACAGGTATAACGTTTTCGTAAGAACGTAAAACAGAAGCAATTTAAGGTTCCACCAGAGACGTCCAGCAGCAGGGAGTGCCCAGCTCCAGAGAGCAGGACGCCGCGCCACGCGTGTCCGTTCCGTGACGCAGGGTTTACCCTATGCGCTATGTTTTATAGTTTAGCATCAGAGCTGTGTGCTTTCCAAATCACTGCCTCCATGGCCTTGCTCTGAAACAAGAGTGGGATGACAATTCAGTATTTTACCTGATTTCCTTGGCACTGACTGATAATCAATTTCTTGAGCATCTACTCTATGCCTAGCAGCGCTTTTGAAAACTCGAGGTGAGGGCTGGACTGTTGTCTTTGAGGAAACAATTACCATAAAAGCTACAGGAAGGCCATTTCTGTTCATTATCCCATGACTCAGATGTGAGAGGGCGACGGGGGTGCCTGGCCCACCCGGCGCCATGCTGGACGGAGAGCCGACTCTACAGGCTGACGTGGGTCTTGGAGAAGGTCTGTGCCCGGGAGAAGCCAGGCGGAGGCCTGCCTGTGCAGCTCAGCCTCCAGGCTGGTCACGGACATGGAACTGGGGGAGGGAGAAAGGACAGTGGTTACAGGGGCTGAGGTGGGCTGGGATGTCATGCTCTGTCCGGGGGCCGTGGCTTCCACACCGGGGGGTGAATAGGGTGACTTCTCTGCTTAAGAATGGCGGGGTCACGGACAGAGGATGGGCCGGTGAATGGTGGTGTTCTCTGTCCCGCGGAGGCACCTGAGAAAGGTCATCTGGAACAGCGCCCCATCCAGAGCCTCCTCCACACGCCTAGGGCTGCCTAGGGCGTGACAGACCTGGAGCCAGGACCTGGCCCTGCAGGCGCAGCCCCAGGGCAGAGGCCGGCGGCCCTCACACCCCATCCACACAGCAGAACCCGCGGCGCGAGGTCAGGAGGCGGCCAGAGACTTAGATCTAGACCAGTGATGGGGAACCTTTTGAGCTCGGCGTGTCAGCATTTTGAAAAACCCTAACTTAACTCTGGTGCCGTGTCACATATAGAAATTTTTTGATATTTGCAACCATAGTAAAACAAAGACTTATACTTTTGATATTTATTTTATATATTTAAATGCCATTTAACAAAGAAAAATCAACCAAAAAAATGAGTTCGCGTGTCATAGGTTCGCCATCACTGATTTAGACGCAGCTGCACTAACGCCCCCGTCAATCCAGTGCTCACCCACAGCAGCCTGGGACGGAAGCGCACGAGAAGGCTTTAACCTCTGAGTGCCGAGAGCCCGATCGCGCTCCTCCTGTCTTTCCCCAAAAGTGCTGGGAACGCTACCGCGCTCCTCCTGCAGTGTCACTATTAGATGCTAGTAGTTCACTCTTTACTGACAGATGGCACCTAAGTGCAGATTACTTATGGTGCCAAATGTTTGTAGTTCTAAAATTGACCACGACTACACTCAAGTCCGCTGTGACACCCTAGAGTAGCGGTTCTCAACCTGTGGGTCGCGACCCCTTTGGCGGTTGAACGACCCTTTCACAGGGGTCGCCTAAGACCATCCTGCATATCAGATATTTACATTACGGTTATAACAGTAGCAACATTACAGTTATGAAGTAGCAACGAAAATAATTTTATGGTTGGGTCACAACATGAGGAACTGTATTTAAAGGGCCAGAAGGTTGAGAACCACTGCAAAGGCAGAAAACAAGCAGGAAGAAGGGAAGCAAGCATACCGACCCCGGAGCTAAGGGTGTGTAATTGCTGTTCCCGGGGGTGCGACTGACATCCCCAGGTGTCTGTATTACAGATGCACGTGCCCATGGACGGGATGGCACGAGCCACATTTACATTTTCATAAAAGCCAATCTGCACCGGAGTTCACCTCTTACAAAAGAAGGAGCATTTTCAGGTGGCGCGGGAGCAGGTAGAGAGAGTTTAGAAATTAAGCAGATGTGCGTCTGATTCCTGCCTCCAGCTGTTCCTTTTAGAGACCTTGGCTTCCTTCATCTGTGTGAGCCTCAACTTTCCTACCAGTGAAACGGAACAATAGCCCCTGTGACGTGAAGTAACACTTGTAACTCAGGGTGGGTCTGGTTTGTCGGATGAAAACGCATGATCGTCCCAAAGAATAACAAACACATACCTTTTCTGAGGAAAGAGGGCACAGCACAGAGGCGTAGCAAATACCAAACTTTAAAAAAAAAAAAAAAAGGCAAATCAGCGCACTGGGAAATAGTCGACTTCTCAGGTTCTTTGTCTAGTTTACTTTTCCAACAGTCCCCTTCCTCTCTTTTGAGCCTCAAAAACCATGTTCCGTTTGTATCATGTTATTACACCAATGATTGCCCAAATAATTTTTAAAAAATCAGAGATAACAGGAATTTAAGAAAGAATCATGCCAACAGTCCCAAATGTTGTAAGCTTCCCTAAAGACAGTTTACTTCCGGCTCATTGTCGGGACCATAAGTCCCAGGTGTTCTGGGATGTCCTCATTTTCTAAACTGGGTCCCACATCACCTCCCTCTCCTCCCTTTCCATGTGCTGCACGCGTGTCTTTAAAGAGAAATGAATGATCTCGAAGGGATTCTACTCACCAGAAGCCAACCAGTCCAACCTGAATGGGCGCACTCATCCACGGGAACCTCTGTGACGAGAAAGACATTATTTTGAAGACTTTCCATACAGGCTCTTAGGGACCATTTCTTCTGCCGACGAACTGGAAGGAGCCCCCGTTACAGGTCCAGGTGGACTGTGATTCGTGTAACGGGGGAAACACTGCAACACGCGTGCTAGTCCTGACTTCCCGAGGCCCCCTCGCCCCCGACCTGTCAGTAGACGCATGTGTGGAGACCACGGCTTCTTGTTCTCCCCTTGCACATGTGATCTGAATGGTGCTTGGTGGGTCCAGGTCGCTGTTGTTTATTACCATCCACTTCCTGGCTGGGAGGCAGGCAGCTCCTCCCACAGGGCTGCCCTAACAGCTGGCTCCATCAGCGGGCAAGCAGGCAGAGCCCGACCCACCGAGCTTCGGGTCCTTGCCCGCCTCCTAAAGCACATGGTAACGTTCATCAACCACACAGGCCAGGGCCTGGGACGGAGCAGAAGCCCCGCAAGCACCCCCTCATCCCCGCGTCTCCCCTCTCTTGGCCTTCTCTCTGTCAGTATGGTTAACGCTATGGCTGGCGTCAGACATTTTGCCTGTCGCTTTTTAAAAATGGAAACGAGTGAGTTGGTCAGTCTTTTGGAGAATAAGTACTGTTAGATTTTTAGTTTTCAAAAGTGGTATCAAAATGCACACTATAAAGAGCGATGAGTAGATGGTCCCGTAACTAAGGCCACAGAAATAGCTGCGACCAAGTTGTGAACTGGTTGTCATGACATCAGCCAACGGAGTTAAGAGGCAACACTAGTGGTTAGAGATGGTGACCCCAGAGCTCATGTGCGAGGCGTACCCTGGTCCCCGAAGACTCCTCCGGTGAAAGAGGACATCGCACAGGTTAACGTGAGGGAGGGAGAAGTGGACTAGAGAGGAAGGGAGAGAGGCGGTCAAGACGAGACAGATCCCAGAACCCCCCTCAAGGACAGCCAGGGAAGGAAGCGCTGGATCTCGCAGTCTCACGCATTGACATGGGACGTGCGACTGAGTGTCACGGTGGCTCTCTAGGTCCCTTCGTTCCTTGGAGCATCCCCAGGAGGAACCCACAGTCCCTGGTCCCCACCAGGACCCTTTCCTCACACGGGGTTGGTGTGTCCAGGTGACAGCTTGAGTGTGTCAGTCAAATGAGGGCAGTGCATAGATTAACGAATTGTTATGCTCCCCAAAGAAAAATAAACCGGGCAATTCACTGTTCCGTGACGCTGCCTCCAAATCCCTTTTCCGTTTCTGACAGTGAGAGGCGTGGCAGCAGTTTTCCTTCGTGGGAGCTTTGTCAAATATCTGAGATTGGACATAAAATGTTCCTGGAACCATCTTTCATCTACATAAGTGCCCGAGTGCCACTGGCCTTCGAATGCTTGGCTGGGGGTTTAGGTAGGAAGAGTCGGTGCATGTGAGGGCTGGATGGGAAGCGGAAGGACTCACCTTCAGAAAGGCCTTCTTCTCCAGGGCGTTCATGATGAACGGGGGGATGGCTGCAAGGAAAGGAGACCTGCTGAACGCGCTAGCTCACGTCTACTTTCAGCTCACATTGCCCCCGACAAGTTGACAAAAGGCTTATGTCACTTTTAAGCCTTTTCCCATGGCAGAGTGAAGCCATCTGCAATAATTCTTTCAAATACTTTAGGATTAGGGGAAAATCAGTGTTCCCGTTTTCTAGAATTTTGAAAAATAATGTAACGCTCTTTTCCAGCCAGAAAGCTCTATAATCGTGAGGAGAACTTTACATTTAACTTTAAGTATGAACAGTGCCAACATCAGGAATGTCTGCCTCCTGCACCCATAAAACAAATGCACCCCGATGGGGGTGGGGCAGCCTTGCGGAGCAGAGAATATAGACTCCGCCTTGAGCCAGGCACACGCCCTGTGGGTGGCCCTGGGAGTTACCCCACTTCTGAGCCTCAGCTTCAGGTTTTCTCACCTTGAAGGAGCCGACAGGAGGGGAGGGATGTGTTTGGTTCACTGATGCACAAACACTTGTTCAGTCTGTGTTTGTGGAGTGGATGGGGGATGGGTGGGTGGATGGGTGTGTGGGTGGGTGGATGGGTGTGTGGGTGGGTGGGTGGATGGATGGGTGACAGTCATACTCACCCATGCCAGGCGCGGCCATGAGAATCCTGGAGACGACCACTTGTGCGATGGCTTGTTGTGCAGCCTGTGCCGACTCACCCAAGCGGGTCCCGTTTTCGTCGGTGACAGGAATGCCGACTTTGAGTTCCCTGCAGAGCAAAACGCATGCCAGGTGTTCACAGGTGCTTCATGAAACCGCTGAAGTTCAAGTCCCCACGTAATCCAGTCACCCACCCAAGAGTCATTTTGGCACAAACAAGTCTCTTTTTACATCCTATGAAAAGGTTTAATCCTCGTGCAACAGGCACAAAAGTAAAATAACACAGTAACTTTGTAATACAAAAAGGAGTCGCAGTTTTAATGAAAATACGCCTCACTGGGTGACTATGCTAACTGAAGAGAAAGGGTGATTTTTATGCTGATGTGCAAGTTAGAGCAACTTTCCAAGTGAGAGGTAGACCTTGACACGTGGCCGCGCTGAGGGACCCGAGGAGGACCCAGGAGTCACCAGCAGATGGCGCTAAGGGGTATTTGTAACAAGTCAGTGACAAAGCGACAGTTCCCAACGCTACCCTTACAGCTCCTGCCGTTACCCTGTTCCTCATTATCCATTCCAAAATGTTTTTTCTTGTTCTTTTTTCTCTAAATTGTAAAAAAACAAAACAAAAAAAAAACCTTCCAAAGATATAGATTAATATTATTTTAAATTCCAAAAGGAAATTCTGGGGGAAAAGAAGGACCTGTTGAGAGAACAAACTTCTGTGTGTAGACCTGCTCTGCCCCGCCCTGGCACAACTAGATCTGAGTGTGAGGTGTGCTTTTAGCCTCTGTGATACGGAAGCAGAAAGGGTACTCTAGCTCCTGCACTCAGCCTGTCCCAGGAATTAGCAGCTCAGCGGCTAAGCCTGTCCGTCAGTGGACCCATCCTCACTTCCAACTCCAGATTATTTTGACACAAATCCCCAATCTCATACGATTCTAGCTGTAAATGTTAAAATAATTTTAAAAGTTTCAACGAAGTGAATTCTTATAAGAATCTTATTACTACAGTAGGTCCTTGGGTTACGTCGGAGATCCGTTCCTACGGCGACGTAATGCGATTTTCGCCGTAAGTCGAAACCCACCTACATAAGCCCCTACGTCACTCACAGGGAGCACATACACAGCAGTAATGAAGTGAAACAGTAAAAAAATTTAAAAGATAACAATTCCTGACCTTTACTTGTGGTAAATAAATAATAAAAAACATAAAGCACATATGTACATACATCGAAATGACGGAACTTTTTTTTTTATAAATAAATGGGAGATGGCGACATAACCACGAAACGACGTACGTGGAGTCCGACGTAATCCGAGGACTGTCTGTACTGTAAGCACATAAATGGGAGATGGCGACGTAACCACGAAACGACGTAATCCGAGGACTGTCTGTACTGTAAGCACAGCCATTTCTAGAAATGCCCATGACTAACCTTTGCCGCATCAGTGGGATATTGATGCAATTCGCAGCAGCTACGGCGGCAAAGGGCACGAAGCGTCCTATGAGTGGTGACACGTGCTGCAGAGGAGAAATCCGAAAGCATGATCTCACTTTTCCTGGATTCCTGGGTGGCAATGCTTATTGCTTCCTGAAAACTGCTGAAAATGCAGAGTCCTGTGTATAGAAACTCAGGCCAGGAGTCCTTTCTCGACCTGTTACCTAGCGGTATTTATTGTATATCTCTAGCGGGGCGTATGCGACTTCTCAGACATTTTGGCAGCTTAGTGTGGAGGGGCATTGAGTCCCAAACTCTTGGGGTCAGGTGTTGGCTCACCCCCTCTTCAGAGGTGTGGCCTGAGGCCCGCTGCCCGCACAGCCGCTGGTGGGCCGTTCTGGTGGGTGAGCACGTAACTTAGCACTATGTCAGGCACAGACCAGCGTCTTGGCTGTGGGGGACACCCCTTCCCAAGGAAGCTGTAATTAAAACATGCAGTTGCACCCAAGCTGGTCTGATTCAGTGGATAGAGCGTCGGCCTGCGGACCAAAGGGTCCCGGGTTTGATTCTGGTCAAGGACACATGCCCGGGTTGTGGGCTCAATCCCCAGTGGGGAGTGTGCAGGAGACAGCCAGTCAATGATTCTCTCTCATCATTGATGTTTCTATCTCTCTCTCCCTCTCCCTTCCTCTGAAATCAATAAAAATATTTTTAAAAAACACACACACACACACACAAAAATAAGCAGTCCAAGAGAATGACCATAATAAGAAAGTCTTAGGACTTGAACTATTTTGAGAAACAGTGGAGTGACTAGGAGCCAGGCGGTGAGAAGCAGTTACGAAGCTTGCCCATGGAATAAAGATCCGCGCACCTTGGTCAGTGCGTTGAGTCCTAGAGCGGTCGCCACGGCGCCAGTTGTTGCAGACACGTAAGCCGTTCCCAGCTCACTGAGAAGAAAGAGAACAGCACAACAACGGGTGACCATTGGGAAACTGGTCCTTTGTTTAAGGAAATGATGGGGGACTGTGCAAGGGCATAAGAGCGGAGAGTCCAGAAAACAGCGTCAGCATCGCCTGCAGGTGGAGTAACCTGGAGAAAGGGCAAGTAACCCACAAACAGTGCGATTCCTCACAGGGACCTGACACAACCCCAGACTCGGACACCGATGGAGAAGGGGCCCGTGAGCGCGCAGGACACGGCAGGTGTGGGAAATGCACAGTGGCCTACACGTCTCGGCACATCCACTAAACTAACATAAAATAACTTCCAAATGTGAATGCGCACGCTGGAAGCCGACGTGCAATGCTGTGCTTCCTAAAATGGTATCTTAGTGTATAAGATTTCAAAAAGTCTCATGTCTGAAATACAGTTAAGCCCAAGCAATTCTGTCCTGTGTAGAAATACGTTTTAGCTCACGGATTGGATGTGAGGCGCTGTGACAGTCACTGCTGGTTACCCACGATGACAGAAGAACGCAGACTGTCAAAGCAATTGGAGCGATAAGACAACACACTGGCGTGTGGGAGGAGCCAAGCTAAAAGTTCTGCCTGGCGGATCCCTCTGGCCCGTCTAAATCTTCCTCAGGGGGGCACAACTCAAACCCATTCCCTTCCTTTCTGGCTCCATCGAGGACCGATGTGTAAGACCATCAGGTGTAAAAGCCCCCTGACCTCTGCAGAGGTCAGTCACGCCGTGGACGCCGCTGCTTTTGGCGCCGGCAGTCTGTCCACGCGCACAGGGTAGACGGGGTGCAGCGTGTGGTTCACGCCAGGCCAGCCTAAGCTGCCGTGTGTTCTGGGGGAGCAGAGCCTGAGGGTGAGGGGGACCTGTCTTCCTACAGCGCCGCCAATGGCACAAGTAACGTCTGAGAATCAGGCCAGATGAACAAATATCTTGATAGAACGGGAGGGAAAGGGCTACTGATGAGAATACCTTCCATAACAGACTTTTTAATCAGGAGAGCATCACCGCCCCATCGGGTGGACATGGGGAGGGGCAGCAGGGCCTTACCTGACAGTGAGGGGGGCGTCTCCGCTCCTGTTGGTGTAGTTGACCACGGCATTGAAGGACTGGTTGATCCACTGCCAGAACAGCACCGCCGGCGTGGTCCTGAAACAGAGCGAGCGTCACGCCGCCACCATCGCCCGCGGCCTCACCGTTTGTGGGACAGAAAACTCGAGCCCCAGTGACGGGAGGATGCTGGGCGTAGGGCCTGGTGGCTGGGCAGACTTTATCAACCCTCTCAGTTTCCTCACTCATTAGAGACGGTGACACCGAGGTCAGGGGGTCGTGGCAAAGACAGAGCTAACTCATACTTTCTCTTACATGTTGGAGAGCCTGGCACAGTGGGCGCTCAGTCACTGTCAGGCTCTCTCCTGGGAGAAGAAGAAGCCATTTGTAGGCTAAGTGGTCCTGACCCTCCCACCTGCACCTCCGCCTCCATCTCCACACCTGCACCGACATGAACGGAGGAAAAGAGAATCTGCATGGACACTCTTTACTTTCTTCCTCCACCGCATTTTCCTGTGGGTCTGAGCTTTAGGGGGAAAGCTCAGCCTCCCTTTGAGCAGCAGAGATAATACCATGCAGCAGAGGGAAAAGGCACTGCAGAGGCCTGGAGCTGCATCTGTACAGAGTGGGACCCGGCAGGGAGTCATTTATTCCAAAAACATCATTTACACCAAAACCTACTTGAAGCTGCTGTAATACGAAGGGAACTGTTGTCACCGAGCCACAACTCACCTGTAAAATGTCATCATACAGCCCGTGATGGTCATGTTCATGGGAACCTGCGCTGACATTCGTCCTATCAAAACCATCTTCTCTCCGGTGTCGGGGTGAAAAGCTGAGTCATAGATGTACTTTGCTCTCCACAGTTCATTTTCAGTGAGACCTGGAGGGACAACTCCTTGTCTAGGAAACAACAAACAACACACAGCTGCTCATTCCAAATGCCGCACCCGCGGTCTCGGGACAGGCAGCGAGAAGGCGCTCAGGGTTACACTTCTCTCCTGGACGGAGCGACAAGTCCATTACCGACTCGGTGAAACTTCACCAGCACGAAGGACAGTAACACTTCACAGGAACATTTCAACCCACACATCTCACATCATCTATCATTTGGAAAAACCAAAACAGACCTGATATAATAGGGAAGTAGTCGACTTTGAAATATTCTTTGTTTTAAATGACATATTTAAACATGTATTTTGAACTCTGCAAACTCTAAAGTATTTTTTAGACAACTGGACAAAAGCTGTCGCAATCAAGAACATTAGTTCATTTTTATATCTATAGTTTGAAAACCTAGATTAGGCAGGCTCACTATTTTTTTTCTCTTTACCAGAGAAACACATATGCATTGCTAGAAATTTAGGGAATACAGAAACTCATTGCAGCGATTAAACCATGGAAGCCTTCACCTGCTCGGCACCCTGGTGATGAGTTAGTGACCACACTGTCCATCCTCCCTAAGATCTCTATGCGCGTGTTTATTTAAAGGCGTCACACTAGACCTGCTGCTCTATAACCACCTTTCTTATCAGTAAGATTTAGTAAGCATTTCTCTGCGTCTTTAGATATTCTCTGTACCATCCATCCTGGGTGGAATCCTCCCCCCCAAAGCACGTCTACCTGGAACCCCAGGATGTGACTTCATTTGGAAACAGGGCCCTTGCAGACACCACTCGTTAGGATGAGCGGCCCGTACAGGACAGCCACGTGCAGCGGCACAGACAAGGCCATGGCTGCCAGAGGCGGAGGTCTCACCATGTGGCCACCAGCCAGGGGGCACCCAGAGCCACCGAAAGCTCGAGGGAGAAGGGAGGACTCTCCCTGGAGCCTCAGATGGGCACAGGCCTGCCCTCCTCTTGGTTTCAGAGGCCTCATCTCTGGCACAGGGAGGGGATGTGTTCCTGTTGTTTTAAGCGACTCAGTTTGGGGTTCTCTGTTCCGTCAGCCTCAGGACCTAGTCCATCATCCTCTTAAAGCGGACTGTGAAATAGCGTATTCTATTGGCCCCTACACTGACACTGTCATAGCTTCTCATTTTTCCGTTCGTAAAGGACCAGGAAGTAAATACCCTCATAAATAAATCTATCCCCGCTTCTAAGACCGTGTGGAAAGAAATGAGCGCATCTGCTGAGATAAACGCGAGGTAAAAGATTAGAACGTGAAGTGTCTTCTCTCCTTCCCTCTCCTTTATCATCAGCGTCAGCGTCGGTATTGATTAGGTCAGCGGTTCTCAACCTGTGGGTCTCGACCCCTTTGGGGGTTGAACGACCCTTTCACAGGGGTCGCCTAAGACCATCAGAAAACACATATATAATTACATATTGTTTTTGTGATTAATCACTATGCTTTAATTATGTTCAATTTGTAACAGTGAAATTGGGGGTCACCACAACAAACAACCAACAAGGAACTGTATTAAAGGGTCGCGGCATTAGGAAGGTTGAGAACCACTGGCTTAGGTAGCTGTATGCAAACTTTATCTAGGGCGGGGAGCCTTTTCTCTGCCAAGGACCATTTGGGTATTCATAGCATCATCCTTGGGCCATACATAATTATCAACTTAAAAACTAGCTGGCTGTATTTGGTCAAACATTTAATTACCTCGCCCCTAATGCCTGGGCAGGGCCTGAGCCTTATACGCCCCCAGGCCAGACATTCCCCGCCCCTGCTTTGTAGACTGAGGCTAATCCAGCACCTGTGTTATCTGCTGTCCTGAGGGTTCTCATTGTTATGTAGTTGGGTGGGAACAAATGAAGTTTCTGCCTAGAAGGCCTGGCCCACTTGAAGGTTATGCAGATGTTCATTGTACTTTATCTCAGAAGCAACCAGCCTCCCTAATTCTGGGCAATCTGCCTGTTGTATGAAGCTGTCCCCACTGGAGGCAGAAGGAGGCCTGGGTGGCTGTAGATGCAGGCATTGCGCGTGTTGGAGAGAAGGGCAGGGCACTGTGAAAAGGGGACTTCACAGATTGGTACCTGGGAGTTGGAGGGACGGCTCTTATTTTGGGGCACTACGACTCCTGGACATGTGTGTTAAGGGTCAGCAATGGGGAATAAAACATGTCTTCCTAGTTCTATTTTTTTTTTAATAAAAAAAATACCCACACACACACACACACACACACACACACACACACACACACGTAAAGTTGCTAAGTGAAGGTTTAAAGGTAACAGGCTAACATGATGACTATTAACATATTCCGCCCGAAGCGCACTCACGATGTTACCTGTAATCGTGCACGGTTTTCCGGGCGTCCTCCAGCTGTTGGTTGGTTAGCAGGAGGTTCCTGGGGTCCGTCACAGTGAAGAAATGACTGGCTCGTCCCACAAAAGTGCTTTGGTCCCATCGAGGCTCTTGGATGTTGATGTTTGGTGGGAGTTCTCCAGACATGGTCGCGGACTGGGAGGGACAGAGAGACAAGTCCAGTGAAGCCTGACCAGGTCCAGACACTTCAGAAACGTATCAAGTAACGATGCGGGTGTGTTCCTACTTCCCCAAATATCCTGCTGTTAGTAGCAGAGAGATAACCTAAACCCAAAGCTAACTTTGTCCACGAATCTCAACCCAATTTCCATGACTTCCACATGTGCCTTTTTATAAGTCCGTGGTATTTCGCCATGCCTTATTTTGGGGAACCCAGAAATACTCTAGAGAAACTGGAAATAGAAAAAGTTAAAAATAAAACCAATAGTAGCACGGCCTCATGTTTGAAAGCCTTCTTCTGGGAGAAGCAGTCAGCATCAAATACTGCTGCGTTCTGAGCTGCCTTTGTTGTTTCTACAGTCGGAGGGACTGAGTCAGTCGGAGGGGAGGGACCCAGTCGTCCTGGTGGGAAGGAGGGAAGTCTCCGGGGCG